CCTTCCTGCAGAGTCTGGAAATAATCATGTGGAGACCCTTGCTCTCGCAGATCGTCTGCCCATTTAACAGATCTTGAGGTGTAGACTTGCCACAAAGACTTTGCAGACTGGAAAACCATACAGTCTCTATGTGTATATACTCAATGGAAGTGGGAGGACACACAGTGGAGACAGTTAGCTGATACCTCTGGTGGCTGTGTCAGTCCCAGTTCCTTCAAGTGACGGACTGAGGATAGGTAGGTACTGGGGGTTGAAGTAGCAAGAGTGGGAGTGGCAGGAAAGGAGAGAACAGATGTTCTTCCCCTCTCCCAAAGGATCTGTCCTTAAAAGAAAAAATAATTAAAAAAAATTCATGATAGGCCACATCCTATTCCACCATAGGCACCTAAGCACCATCCTTTTCCAACCTGGTTGAGTGCCTGAAAAACTACCAGTGTATCTATTTTTGTAGCACAACCTCATCTTAACCTTAAAATTGAGTCACGCAAAGTAGGAAAAAGGGGGGACCCATCCACCTTTTCCATGAATGATTTTTCAGGGACTTGAGAAGGGTAGAATAGGATCTCACTTAGGCATCTACTAGGTAGAATAGGATGTGGCCCCATGTGTCATCCTTTCCCTTAAGAAGAAAGGCTTGGGATGGTAGAGTGAGGCAAACTGATGGCTAAGGTTGAATGTAATGGATGGCTAGCCTTAACTTCCACTGCAGGAGCTTAAGGGGACCTAGGAGCTTCATGTGCATGCATCTGTGTATGCAGTCTCCAGGCAAGGCGCAGCATTTCCCAAGCAGTCACCAGATTGTCCCTTCTGCCAGCCCCTGTGGACAGTGGGATGATAACTAAGTCCTGAAACACCTTCCCTTTTGGAGAGCAGTAGCACAGATTGTTTCACCACCTGCCTCAAAAGACTACGGCGGCCCCTACTTATTGCAAGGCTGCATCCTTTCTGAGTGTGCCCCTCATGCCATCCCCCTGGAAGCTGTGGGGAAGGTACCTCCTCCCCTGCATCCTGTAGCAGTGCCAGCTATTCACACTGCAGCGTGTACTGGAATGAACAGGGATGGGTTGAATGAAATTGGCTGTCATGATACTGAACATCACACAGGCAGTGAGGGTCAGGTGAGATAAATTTTGTTTAGACTCATGTCACTTAACCCAATTCAGCCAGTCACAGTGAATCCTTAATGCCCCCTTCCCCTCCCAGCCTTTCATTGTGGCTGGACTCCCCTGCAATTGAGGGAGAAGGAGGTAGAAGGAAAGCAGTGGGCTGAGGGATGAGGTTAGCTGAAATGAAAGGGGAAGCCTTATCTTACTAATGCATACCTCATTATTTTCAGTGAGATAATAGCAAGCAGCACCCATTTAGTCCAGTGGTAACTAGCTGAGATGCCCAGCCCCATCACATGCAAAGCTTTTTATCAGTGAAATGCATCCTTTTCTGCTCTTAACAGGGACTTAGTGAAGGATAGGCAAGAGCGGGTCAGAAATGTGTTAAAATTTCAGAGACTGAAACAGAAAAAAATGGAATGAAACCAGGAAAGAGATGGTCATGGAAAGGAGGAGATGGGTATAGAGGGATTTAAAAGAGGTGGGAACAGAGAAAGAAAATTAAAGGCGGGGGAAAAGAAAAAAAGAGTATATGTCCCAATTTTGGGGTCAGCGAATGCATCTATACGTGTGCTTTACTGCAAAGTTGACTGATGAGCTCCATGGTAAAGCATCACCATCTACACGTGAGCCAGTATTAGGGCACTGTATATTAATGAACTCTGCCATAAGATAGTAGTGCTAGAAACAGTACTGTCTTATGGTGAAATCATTTACTGTGCAGAAACACACATGGAGACATTGACCCGGACCGCAGCAATTTGAGCTGAAGTGGAGCAGCGCCGAGGCTGATAGTAGGCTCAGGGGCTCAGCTACACGGCTCCACAGTTTCGGCATTCTTGTGTCGCAGGCAGCCCCTCCACTGCCTGACGCTGCCACTTGGACCCCAGGGCTGACCCCCTGAGCTTGTTTTCAGTTCCCGACTCAAACTGCTGCGGTCTCGGGTGCCCATGAAGATGCTGCACCCAGGAACACCTGACTCTGGCGCGAACTGCACCAGACTTTATAGAGCTGCATTAATAGCTCATGTACATGCACACAGTGAGTTGTTACCTCTTCGTGTTCCTAATACAGTGGTTTTCAATCTGGGTTTGTGGATCCTTGGAGGTCCTCAGACTGTGTCTAAGGCATCCACAAAAGATGACTATGATCAATCAAAAGTATGTGAATACCCACACTTACAATTCAAAAGAGTCCGCACCTCCATTCAAATTTTTTTAGGGGTCTGTAATGAAAAAAGATTGAAAACCACTTTCCTAACAAGATTACATTAGCTGGAGGCCCTGCGTGAGAGCAGGGCCACATGGGACTAAACACTGTAGTGACAAGTGATAGGAAACAGCCTCTACCGCAGATAACTTAGTCTAATTAGACAGACATAGGCAGGAGGATAAGAGGTGGTCAGCCACAGAGCCTCTTTGACTTCCAGCCACTGGAAGTATTTTTATGGCAGGTCTCCTACCCCTCCATGAGCTCTAAGGGAAAGGAGAATTTGAATTGAGCTACCAGAAAATGTTATTATTTGATGCTATCACTCTGAGGAATAATGCAGGACTGACATGTTACTAAATGTGTATAATTAGAGGAGAGCATCTGCAAATAGGGCCTGTCACCTGGGGAGCAGCGGTGCTGCCCACTTCTCTTGTCCAGATGCACAGGAGTTCATTCTGAAAAGCACCTTTTGATTGCTTTATTTCAATAGTGCTTGGCAGACTCATTTTTTTCCATTGGTTAATGGGTACCAAAGGAGAGGAAATGCCATGTGAGAAGCCATCTTTAATGTCATTTCCATCCCTGGGCATAAGAACGTTGCTTCTCTTTTTAACATGTATAGTAATAAGAGCACAGCCTGACCTGACTCCCGGAGGCAGATTCCACATCTCTGTCCAGCGCCCTACAAAATCCACCATTGTTTGGCTGCATCTCGGCAGCCGTGATATGAGAGACCTTGGAATGATTTTTTAGTAGGCAAAAATAATGCCTGACTATTTGCTATGGCAGCCCTGTAGACCATATTTTATCAGACCATTCAGGTTTTTGATTATAATTGCTACACTCTATCAATTTAGTAGCAGCCACAAAACTATCAAATTCCTTTTTGGGTAAATAAATATTTCTTAAATTATGCATGCAACATCATAAACTTGCCACTTTCCTTACCATAAAACCAGCTAATTGTAGTTTTGGTTTGTAACTGCACCCCTGTGAGCTGAATGTTCAGTATAAACAGGAGACGGCATGAAGAAAACCTCTTGCTATGTGTTTACTTAAGAAGCTGCAGCTCTAAGTTGTCTGGCATAGACAAAAAACCTCTGGGAGTGAATGACAGCTCCAACAGAGAACTGAAGAAAGACATTCAGGGCTGCTGTCTCTTTTGATTTTAACATGCTGTTTCTCCAGCTTAAAGTCTCAGCTCCTGGAGCCCTGTTACTTTGTGAGAATTTCAGCTTTCCTTAAAAAATAAGTATAGTTCCTAGCCCATGCTATTGAAATGTGATTTTGAGGATGCATTCAAAGAAGCATGAAGGTGGAGCAAGTTCATGACCTTATGCTGAACTTGCACCAAAGGCCACCCCGCACAGGAGACTCAGTTGTAAATGGGCTGGTTATTCAGGCTAACAGTCAAACGGAGATGGAGAGATGGGAGTCACATCACTCCATTGTGTGCTTTCGGCTACATAAAATGGCATGGTCTTATCATGCTAGTGCAATGGGCCACCTAGACTTGACTGGACCTTTGCCCTTTTTTTTTGGACCAACATGTTTGGAAACTAGAAAAGACATAGAAAGAAGCCCAGTTATTTCATGATTTTAGTTCATGGCTTTAATTCATGCATTTGTCATTCATTTTGAACTGTCAGGGCTGGGGATGGTGTCATTTTTGTCTTGAAGTATTGAAGACTGTTCTGTCCATCAGTCTGTTGGTTTGACTGTATGGATGTATGCTGCTGGGAAACTTCTATCCTTACATATCTATTATTAATCTTGTTTATTGCAACAGTGTCTAGGGACTAACCCAGGAAGGGTCCACTGGTGCTGAACACTGCACAAAAGCCAGAGTAGTAGTACAGGGACCTTGCCTCAAAGGATTACAGTCAAAATGGATAAACACAGGGTGAGGGAAAATCTTGAGTATGCAAGAACAGTAAGCAGTAATGTAATACCTCCCACATATGCATCCATTTCCCTGTCTATGGATCTATGTTGTATTTTACATTTCTTTCTCTATTGCTCTTTCTCATTTTCTTCTGTCGTTTCTTTCCTTTTAGCATTTTGTTACTCAGAAAGGTTAAGATACAACTTACTTCTTCCTCACCTTTTTTCTCCTTTTCTTCAGTTATTCTTTCCCTCATTGTTGTTTTTCTCCTTTTGTTTTTCCCTTTTTATCTAGCACTTTCAATATTAATCCACAGTTGCCTGAGATAACCTTAACAATAGCCTCTAGCCCCAAAAAGGTGTCAAATTGATAAATATTGATATCTACCTGCAATTCTACCTTGATTTTGCTGCTAATGCATTTGGTATGACTTCACTAAATAATGGCACAATCCAAGTTCCCATGTGCAATGTTTGGACTGGTCTCAATCTGTCAACTTATAAGTAATATGTTCTACATTTCCAGGAGAGGAGTAAGAGAAAAGATAATGGAGGAGAAATGGAGGACAGAGCAGTAAAAGAAAATAGTGTAATGGAGGAAGAGTTGAGTGGGGTCTGGAAAGGGTGGCGAAGATATGGAGAGAAAAGTAGAGGAGCTAAGAAGCATACGTTTTTAATGCACATGTAATGAGGAAAGTGTCAGAAAGATGTAGGATGCTTCTAAAACCCTTCCCCTTAGCTTTAGTACTCTCTTTATTCTCCCTCTGTGAATGCCCCTCCCATATCTCGTATAACAAGGCTCTCCAGGAATGAAGATCTACATTGATCCCTTCACTTATGAAGACCCAAATGAGGCTGTCCGCGAGTTTGCCAAGGAGATTGACGTGTCCTTCGTGAAGATCGAAGAAGTCATTGGAGCAGGTGTGTCTCATTTTGTCCTAGATAAGCTTCTACAACTTTCTCCAAAGCTACTGCTTCCTAATCTTTCCATCTCTTCATGGGCTTCAACCCTTCTCTTGGTATCAATCTGTTCACTCATTTGTTAAAATAAGAACAGTCATACATTTGCCTAAAAAAGATGAAGTTTGGTTAACTTACTCACTGATTGATCTTCATGCATTTTTAAGTTTCCTGGTTTAGCTTCCAGGAAATAACAAGACAAAGACAGACATCTCTTTTTAGTCTTATTTCAGATGTATAGGTACGTGGGTAAGTAGGTAGGTAGATAGAAGCTATTCATATCATTAATAGCATTCCTGGTGTTATTTTTAAACAACTGTATTGTGCTAATGGAAAAGAATAGCCAGTATGAGAAATTCAAAGGAAAAATGAATTGTTATGCCTTTGAAGTTAGACACAGCAGTGCATTGGCTGCTTGGTAGTTTTCTGTCAATTCAAAGCAGTCATAAAGCTAACTCAAACATGAACCAGCCATTTTGACACCATATTTAAAAACCACCACATGGAAAATAATAGTTTGCAGCAGCCAGATATTTTCACGTTTCAGGGTTTTCATTTTCTGTTGCTAAATCAAAAATATCCAAGAAAAAGAGACTCAATTTTTGTTCCCCTCCCTCTGCTTCCAAGATCTAATTTTTTGTGGGGGGAAAAAAAAGGTTGTGATGAAATACTTTTTTAACAACCCTAATGATTTACACTCACTCACTCACTCACTCACTCACATATGAGATAGAGTCATATTGGATGGGTGGATGGATGAATGGATAACTGAACCCAAGTTGTTTTGAATGCAAACTTTCTCTGGTAGATCTCTGGCCTCAAAGACAGCATTGTCTCAGTGTGTCACATGCCAACCAGAAAGTTAAACTTGATTCTAAATTGAAGTGAAACCGACAGGCTTATTTTCATTGTCCAAGATGAAGAAAATGCAATATGAAAGTGAATGGCATCAAATTATGTCAGGGCTGACGGTAGTTTTATGAAGAGTTTATATTATGGGTTGTATGGGATGGTTTAGATCGGGATGATCCTGCCTCAGGCAGGTGGTTGGACTAGGTGTCCCCTGGAGGTCCCTCCCAGCCCTGCTTCTCTATGATTCCATGAATTATAGCAGTTTAGATTTAGGAAAATATCTAAGTATTCATAATCTCTTAGCCCCTGAACCTGCACCAGCGATAGGGTCCAATTGGAATCTGATGCCTGATCCCACAGTTGTCTTCTGCCATGCATATGTGGCATGACAGGAGGTACAATTGTTGGGATCATGGTTCAGATCCCATTGCGTCTTTAACTGAACATCTGCCAGGGGCCTGTGGCACTTCCCCTTGCAAAGGGGAGGAAACCAGTAGATTTGTGAGAGGAGACAACTATTGAACTGAACAGGTTTTTCAGCCAATCAGGTTGGAAGGAGTGATGGGAGAAGTCCGTGGTACTGTTACTCTGTGGTTGTGATGGATGTTCTTGCAATTGCAGGGGAGTTTGGTGAAGTGTATAAAGGACGTCTGAAACTACCCAGCAAGAGGGAAATCTATGTAGCTATAAAGACATTAAAGGCTGGCTACTCTGAGAAGCAGCGTAGGGATTTCCTGAGTGAAGCCAGCATCATGGGACAGTTTGACCACCCGAATATCATTCGGCTGGAAGGAGTGGTGACCAAAAGCCGGCCAGTCATGATCATCACAGAGTTTATGGAGAATGGAGCTCTGGACTCCTTTCTGAGGGTAAGCAAAGATTATAACCTCTCTGGCTTTGTTTTTAACACCATAGTGAAGGGAGTCATGCTAGCTGGAATTCAAGCACGGTGTCATGTAGAAGATCCAGTGAGTCCTCCTGTGCTACTTGGATTAATGGAGGACATGGTTTTCCAAGTAGAAGGCAGACTAATGAGTGAACCAAGAATCAGTATCGACAGAGGGTGAGATTTTCGAACAAGCCCAAGAGAGGGAGGAGCTCAAGTCTTGTTGCCTTTCAATCAGGCTTATGCTCCTAAATTCCTTTAGGACTTGCGAAAATCTCCTCCAGAGCCCTTAGCCAGGAGGAGCAGGTAGCTGTAAATACAACTACAAAAGGAATGGATGGGAGAAATTCACACAAAGGACAGGCCAGCTGTTGAAGGAAAGGATAAACTATAGATCCTTTCCAGCCTTTTTTTCTGATTCTGTGATAACAACAGCACTAAAACCTGAGGAGTGGGCTAGCTGCACCCTGTGGCAACCAGCCTGCCAAGGCAAAGCTCTACCAGTGTCCAGCACCTTCATGATCCATGAATGGAGTAGGGGAAGCAGGAGAGGCTTGCCAAGGGTTGGGGATGCTAAAGCAAAGGTGAGGACTTCTGAATTGCTGGCACGTTGGGCTGAAATAGGGGCAGCTCATTGAAGTAATCTAAAAGCAGGGGATAAGTAAACACAGTCTGAGGGAAAGATATATCTTTGTTTTCTTGCTATTTTTGTAAGTGGTTTTGAGCCTGGAGCAATTTCAGCACCAGCTGGCAGTGTCCGTAGCAAGTCAGTGACAAGGTGTCAGCCCTATGGCTCCTTGTGGACAATGCCACTCTCATTGTAGTCTCTAGCATCATTTAGAAAAAGCAGCAGCCACAAAAGCGCCAGACAAATGCACACATAAATAATCCTTATGGGGCAAGGAAAGCAACCAGCTTTCTTTGTACTGGCATCCTACACCGTGTACCTAGGGTTGTGGAGGCAGCTCAAAGGCATGCTTAGCCAAAGCTACAAAAAGCCTAGGAGACTGGGGGAGGAAGGCATAAAAGAGAGAAATGGAGGGAGAATAAATGAGGAATGGGTGATGAATAGGCATGAGCGTGAAGGGGAGGAAGAGTCCTACTTGGAATGAGATTTTCAAAGGGAACCGAAGAATCAATTAATGGGAATTTAGCATCCAAATCCTGTAAATCCCACTCTATTTCTTAAGCTCAGAAGCAGGTAACTTATAAATCTAATTTCAGCCTTGATGTAAAAATAGCATCGCTAATTGGTGCATCAGCTGCGTGGAAAGATAGCAAAGTAGGTCATCATTTCCACTCTGCACAGAGACCAAAGCCAAGTAATGAAACAGGACTGTTCCTGACCCTTATGCAGGTGTGTTAAAGGAGTCAGGGAGGCAGAGACAGGTAAGGAAATCCTTGGACCTCTCTCTAGGCATGAGGAGCAATCTCACTCTCAATGTCTTGCTGAGCAGATAAATTGTTCCTTGCCATTGCTGACATCCTCACACCTGTATAGGGTAGGGTAGAGCTGGAGATACAGATTCATTCCCACATCTGCATCAGCCTATGAGCAGAGAAGTATTTATCCTGTCCTTTCTGCCCAATCTACATGGTGCTCAAAACTGGCTTGTGTCATGGAGGCACAATCCACTCACCACCAAGGTAGCCATATTGTCATGTGGTAAAATGGGTAATATTTTCCCCTGGGAACCTTTTAGCTTTGTACTATTGATGGGGAGTCAGTGTGGCACTTCCTTTATCACCAACTAACCTAGCTGTGTGGGTTGGGGGCATAAGGAAATTGTCCTGTTTTATCTCATTCATAGGACAGGCCACCAAAATATATGTTCAGCTGTTTTTATTTGGAGGGGAGAAAGAATTGAAAGAAGAGAGGAAAATAAGATCATTTGGAGCCCAGGAGAGATTTTCAATCTTGGGAAAATAAAACTCAGAAATGGAGCCAGTCTGTGAAAAATCTCTTTTCCCTAAGTTAGTAAAAAACCCCAACTTGCTGGCTTATTTCCTACTAGATTCACCAAAAACTTGGATTCACAGGATGAATGAATAAGAGCCCTGTTGGTACCAATGTAACACCTTGAGGCCTCAGCCAAATTCAGGCTCTCTTGTGCTAGGCCCGATAGCTATCTCAATAGGAAGGGCCTTGCCATAGAGAGGCTGTGGTCTCCATTAACAGTGCGGAGGAATATAACAGTGCAGAGGAATAGTGACTTGCTCATGACTACGCAGCATGTCCGTGGCAAAACCGGAACTGGAACTCGGGTTTCCTAGCGCAAGTCCCAGTCACCAGACCACACTGTGCTTGTAAAGAGAGCTGTTTATTGGCTCTGTCCATAAAGGGATCATGCTAATTATGGTTCTTGCTCTTTGTAACTGCAGCAAAATGATGGACAGTTCACAGTAATCCAGCTAGTGGGGATGCTCAGAGGGATTGCCGCTGGCATGAAGTACCTTGCAGAGATGAATTACGTGCACCGGGACCTTGCTGCCAGGAACATCCTGGTCAATAGTAACCTGGTGTGCAAAGTGTCTGACTTTGGCCTCTCACGCTACCTGCAAGATGACACCTCTGACCCAACGTACACCAGCTCCTTGGTATGTACCTTCCACCCCCTTGTATGCTCCTCATAGATAAATCCCAGACTCTCTGGCTGAGGGTGGAGTTGCCGTGAGGCCTCCCACTTCCATCTCTCTCATAACAGCAGCAACTGGAGTTATACTCCCCTAGTGCCTTTCAACATAAACCATCTTCAAGCCATTTGCAACTTGTGTCCTGCTCAGAGCTATGGAAATATTCCTCATGAAAACAAAAAGCTGGAAACATTCCCCTTCTTGAGCTAATATTTACTTCTGTGAAAAGATAATTCTTTCCTGGAGCATTTTCCACTTCAGGAAACAGTTCATTAAGGCTGGGCCCTACCTACAGGAAACATTGACAATGAGCACAAGACCCATAGAAATAGTAGACATGAACGTGTGGGTATAGGGGTAAATGGGTGGGAGAGAGAGTCAAAAGGATCTCATTCCTGCTTCTTGTGCCAGGCTCCTTTAAATCCTGGCCTGAGGGCTGCTGTGGAGTTTGTCCCTCTTGTTGGACTCAGGCTTGCTACAAAGCAGTGTCTGAGCTAAATGTGATGGAGTGAAATGACTGGAGATGTTAATATTCATTGGCAGTCACCTCTGTGCGCCAGATTTGCAAACATTTGTAGGTGCCTCAAGGTGCAGATCGGTGTCTAGTGGCATTTACAAGAGCATCTAAGTGAAGAACTCGCCTGTCTGCGTCTTTGACTATGCAAATGTCTATGTGAATTTGGCCCTTTCTCACCACTTTCCCTTCACATGTTATTGAACTGTCCTATGTTTGATTGACAAACACACTTTGGAAGGAGAAGAACTGTTTTCTTTTGCTTTGTGTGCCTCCCTTCTCTTTTCTCAGTCCTTTTTTCCCCACCATTCTCTTTTCCCTCTTCTTTTTTCTCCTTCCCATTAATTTTCCCTTGCTGTCTTTTCTACGTTACATCTTTCAAATTCCTCTTTGCTCATGGCTAGTTTTCAGATGAGATGTTCTCTGTCTTCCATTAAATGAGCATGGGGGAAGGAGCCATGCAGTGGCGATCTGGGAGGGGGGACTTCAGGGGAAACAAAAGGAGGTCTGATTGCACATAGAAGGTATTACAACTGAAGCTAAAGTAATGCTCCAATCCTGATCTATCTTTCTCTGTAGGAAATTTGTTCCAGGCATTAATTAAAGAGACAAGTCTAATCCAAGCACTGCTATTCCCCAGTCACTGTTCTCTTGTTTAATTAACTCATTCATAGATAATCCCAGGGTTTCTTCACTCTACCATTGTCTCCTGCCTCATCTATTTGTAGATTAAAGCTCTTCTTTTGCTACTGGCAGCCTCAGAAATAACAGAACCCCAAATCACTCCAGACTTTCTTCTGCGGTGATTCTGTCATCCCAAAGTGGGTGTCTAGCTATCATTTGACTCTGTCGAAATGGTGGCAGAGGTAATGAAACAATGATTGTCGTAGTTAGAAAGAATAAAGTAAATGAGTTGCATCTTACCCTCAGGTTCCATTTACGTTCAGATAATAAAAAGCTAATAAGGGATTTTTAGATTGTTAGATTGTCGTAGATGTGTGCAGCTGCAGCATGAACAATAGATAATTAGAAGTTTATCGATTGATGTTATAGATGGTTATAAGACTTGGCTACAAGCAAGCTGTTGACCTGATGGACTCTACAATCAATAACAGTTGATTGATCATTTATTAAAACACCTAATAGTTATTCCTTAACCTGTTATAAGCCACTTAAAACATAATAATGTAAAGTGTGACCAGTAAAGTCTTTAGAGAGTAAAAATGAAGAGAGTTTTTACTGGCAGCACTGAAAAAGGATTGAGGATGTTGGAGCTATAACAAAACAGGTCATGTCCTATTGATCAATAGGTGCAATATACAATGTAAAATTTGGAGGCTTTTTCTTTTATTATTAAAGAAGTAAAAAGACTCAGTGTTTGCTTGAGCAGTCACCTGATGTTTTGGCCCAAACTGTGTAAGATCTCAAATCAGTAATAAAATGTGTGTGTAGGCTCAAAAAGTGATGATGGGACATTAAACCAAAACCTCTGAAAATCAGTTTCTTCTCGGTGTTCCTGCTGCACCCTGCATTCTGATTCTTAGATGCAACAAACTGCACCCAGACGCTGACATGGAGCTGACCGATAGGGACAGGACTGTGTGAATAGTAAGCTGCCCTGGTTTGCTAGGGTCCAGGTGGAATGGAAAGGGATGTTTCTGACCTTAAAGACTCAGATGGTTTGGGGCCTAGGTCTTTGAGAGACAACTTCTCTCTTCTTGTGCTCCATGGCTGTGACCAGTGGTGATACCAAAGCTGGAGCTCCCTTGACTCAATCAGTAGGAAGCTGCTGAAAAGATTGATCTCTCCACTTTCTTCCCCTCTTCACTTCTCTCCTTGGACCATCAAAGCCCAGATTTACTAATATCCTGGTCATGCTTCAAAGACCATCTCTCTTTCCATGTTTGTGTAGGCAGTGGGGACACTGGGTAGTGGGAGTATGACTTGTTGAATAGAAGGATTGTTGATAATCTGAGCAGGAGGGTGAGTTTGATGCTAGGAGTCTGAACAATAGCATGTAATGTAAATTGTGGCAGGAACCCCTGTAAGGCAAGCACCTTGTGGGCTGTGTCAAACTGAAGTAAACAGAGGCAGCATTACACAAAGCAGAACCTCATCTGGAATAAACTGATGCTCCTTACCATGTAGCCCACTGCAGTCAGTGCTGGTTAACATACATGGGGAACTGGCTAGGGCCTGGTCCTTGTCCTGCTCCTCTGGGCTGAGATGGGAGTGCTGTCTGGAAGAACATGCAGATTGTAGCCTATTAAGCAAAGAATGCCATTTTTGCTAAAGTGCCCAACACTCGCTTCTGGGGAAAGGCATGAAGTGGCCTTTCCCACCTTTAGAGATAAAATGGATTATCTCATCTGTGTTTATATTTAATTTAAGCCATAATAGGCCTTCCCAGCAGCTGGGAAATGATGCTCTGCCTGCAATTACATCACTCTGCCTCCCACAGCAGGTTTTTAGCTCTGGGGAAAAGGCAGGAAAAACAACCTGGCAGTTAATTTCTCTATTTGTAGTTATTCAAATAGAATTTTTGCTATCCATCTTTACAGAGCAGCTGACACTTCATGGAAGGCTAAAGAAAACAATTGTGCTGAACAATTTCTGAAACAATTCTGCCTAGAGTAAATATCATACATTTTCTACATTCCCCTTCCTTTTTCATTATTTTTAGCTATTACCTCAGTCATTTACATGAAAACAAGATCGTTGTTTCCTGACAGTTCATATGCTCCTGTTTCCCCATTGAAGTCAGCTTCCCCTGAATGTGACGTCATCACTCTTGCCAGGAAAATGAATTATGAGGTCACAAACAAAATTATGAGGCAGGTCTGCCTTGACTGTTTGCAACAGGTAATGTTCTGGCCCTGGGTCTACTGGGGAGAATGTGGATGGAATTAGAGGTTCTGTTTTTATAACTTGGTATGAAACAAAGCCCTGACCTTTCCTCCCCACAGAGAGGAAGCTTTCATATTGGGTGCATCTACACATGCACATTTACTAAGCAGTAACCACAATTACTGCGCAGTACAGGCGCATGTGGCCTATGCCAACTTGAGCATAAATTTGATATCTGCATCATGCAAGTATCAAATTTACGCCTGATTAGTTACTGTGCAGTAATGCACATGTAGATGCCTTACTGTGCAGTAACACTGTGTGTGTGCGGACTGACTTGGGATTAATTTTAGTTCCAAGTCAATCCACACACAACATTAATGCACTTTAATGACTGCACATGTCGACGCTGGCCTATTCCCGCTTACTGAAATAAACTGGCATAAATGCACGTGTAGACACACTCACTGGGTGTATTAAGAAATTACCCATGATTTGTAACATAACTTCATCATTTCAAATCATTAGCAGAAAAAGGAGAAGAGAACTTTCCTTGGGGTGGTTTGATATATCCTATATGTTTTATTGCAGCAGTGGAGATGATGTTCTGAAGTGAAGGATGATAGGATTTGGATATATCTTCAATTTAGGGCTTGAGAATAGTACACCTATCACATTTAATGAAAGTTATTCAGACATACACTGAAGAGGAAGAAGACCCTGTGTACTTTTTCCAAAAAGATTTCAAGCCTATATGAGAGATTCCATATATAGGGAAATATATTTCCAGTAAATTAGAGTTCCAATAATAATGCTAGTGTTACCCGATGCATAGGAAGGTGTGATAAGGAGATAATAAGTTTCTAAAAAAGAATGCCCTTTGAGCTGAAATGTACTTTGCTTCTCAGTCCAAATTTGGGTTAGAAATGTTGTTACATTACACTGGACAGTGTCTGAATACCCTGAAAAAGGTGGATGGCAAGTCTGAGTTTTCACTGGCTTGCATTTTTTGCTCTCACACTTATTGCATCTTTGCAGAGTGGGTGTATTGTGTTACCATTTTGATCTTATAATGTTTTATACCCATTTTGCTATGGTGTAAATGATCAGGCAAGGTTGAAGGCAGTGGTGAATCAGGTCCAGAATTTCTCTGGTTACCTTCCTGTTTCCGTTATTGCTCAGTGTCACTTGTATAAAATCAGGATTGTTGCTGCTTTGAGAATTCTTCAGTTCTGTTTAATGTCCCAGCTGAAACTGTCGGTTGAAATCCTCTGCCAGAACATTGGTTCACAGTAGCAAGGAATTTGGCTCCTAATATCCTGATTGGGACACCGTAGTGCATTGCTATGGAAATGATTGTGATGTCACCAGAACGTCCCTATATTCAATCAAGCCAACTGTATGAGAGATCCTGCAGACCGTTCCAGCAGCAGGGACTGCTCCATCCCCTTTTGTTGCTATGTCTGGAATTGCTGGCCCTGAGGGGCATATTTCAAAACGTGGACTGAACTGCAGGAATCATACTTGCATAAATCTTCAATTAAATGAAGTTTTAATTTAAAGCTGATTGACAAAAGTACTTGCATATCCTCATCGGAGGCAAGTGCTATTAATGGCAAGCTGTCATCCCAGTGCCAAGGGGAGCCCCATCACCCCTCGCCCCTTCCCTGCCATCTTCCTCAGGGGAAGGGACCTGCAGACAGGGAAATGTTCGTGCTTAGCCATGCAAAGCAGCCCAGGTTGTGGAAGCGTCACTCAGGGTAGAACTCTGAAGGCTGAGGTTTCTACTTTACATGCAAGAAGGAGCAGCGAGGCAGCTGTTGATGCCAGCCTTTGACGTCTGATTTCAGGCTCTGGGAACTGAGAGCACCTCCAGATTCTCTGTAGGAAATGCGGAACCCTTTTAAACACACACGCCTACGTTCATTAGCATTCATGGGAAAGTATGACATTAATATTATGAGTGCAGGTTTGCAAAATGAGGTTTAACCCTTTTGCTCCAGGAACCAGTTTGTGCTACAAGAAATCACTGGCAATGCAAAGGCTGGGCTGGCCTACTCTCCCAGCAGTTAGGTACATTTGTCACTTATGTTAGCACTAATATAAATTTCCCCAAGCTGAAGCCCACATGGACTCATACCCTTCATGCCTTTGTCTTCATCAGAGTGGGAGACAGAATAAACAAAGGAGGTGCCTCATTTTGCCTTATTGCTTGCAAATGAAGGGCAGCCCTGATACTGATCTGTCATGTGGGAACAAATCTGGGTCATTCCAGTGAGTTCATTGCCATTGCTCTAGATCAGAGGTGGGCAAAATATGTCCCGGAGGCCAGATCTGGCCTGCCAGGCCATTCTATCCGGCCCCTGGGGCCCCTAAAAAAATTAGAAAATGAATATTTATTTGCTTCTGGCTGCCTGTCAAATATGACAGGAGCCAGGGGCAGTAGGACCCAGGGGAAGCTGGCAGCAGGACCCAGTAGCAAGGCCCCCCCAGCCCTGCCTCCCCAACCAGAAGCCCCTGCTTAGCAGAGGCTTCTGGCCTGGGACTGTGGGGCTGTTCCTGCTTCCCTGTGCCAGAGAGGGAAATGCAGCCCTTGATAACTCGTCAAAACTTGGTAAGTGGCCCTCCACCCGAAATAATTGCCCACCCCTGCTCTAGATCCATGCTGGTATAACAGTATCTAGTTTTAGGACAGATGATACTGTGAAACAAGTGTTGGAGGTGAGGGCTGGCAGCTACTTCTCTTGAGGTTGTGATGGTCTTGGATCCCATGAGATAAGTAGGGTCAGGCTGACTCAAGACTCTCATGGAAGACCTCTCAGAAATAGAAATGGGAGGATAATTCATGAGATATCTGTTTTACTCTGAGAATTTCATTCTGATCTCACTTATACCATCATAGTTCACTGGTCTTCATTGTAAAGAGATGTATTTTGCTATGTTAGTATGAAGTCAAGTAGAAGGCAGGGTAGATTTTCATGTTATACAAAAATCAAAGTAGATATAAGCTTTTGTGAGCTGAAGCTCACAGCATCTGATAAAGTGAGCTTCAGCTCATGAAAGCTTGTGCTATAAATGTATATCTACTTTGGTTTGTCTATAAGGTGAGACTCTACCTGCCTATTACTAATTGTGATAGATGGTAGAAGGTCCTGAATCATTTTGAAAGCAATGCCTGCTAAAGGACATGGGGCCGTTGAAGTTGATATTGTTCAGAGAAGGTCTTGAAAAATGTTAGAGTGCTCATGTAAGATAAGGGGTGATAACCTAACTTGCTAGCCCAACTCCAGATCAAATACTTGCATTCTGTCCGTAATGCCTTTTGCCATCATTGGATCCCTCATTTCCTGTCCTTCAAACACATAGGCTTCATTACTAAGTGCAGTGCGACAGGTGAGTACATTACAGTAGTGAAGAAAGCAAAGCTTGTGTATAATTGATGTCTTGGTCAGTTATTTGAACTGTGCAGCACACAGGGATCTTTTGGGATGAAAATACTACTATATAAATTCTAGCTGATATTTTTATGGGACTAGACCTTTCTGGCTATAAAATGATAATGGAACATCTGAGAAGGAATCCATACAGCTAAAGGAAAAGAATAAGATGGAGACAAATTAAAGGAATTCTTTTCAGACCTTACTGTGATGTGGCCTCCTTAGTCCTCTTCACCTGCATTCCCATTTAACAAATAGTTGTATTGACACTTTCTAATTTTCAATCCTTAGAGAAGACAACAGCTTGGTAAATATTGAATCTGGCTGCCATCTGTATGTGTACTTGTTGTCAATTATTTTCTACAATGTGCTCCATAAATATTGACCAGTGCCTTCCCTCCCCACTCCCTCCCTCTGCTTTCAGACACATATATACATTCCTTGTAATCAGTAGCAGCAGTCATCTTAGTGAGGGGCTATTTTCAGAACCTGGTTGGGGCACTTGGCTCTATATTTGGCTCTGGGTGTTATATTGTCTTTCAGACAAACTTTTCCCAGCCTGCCCTGCAGGTCCTTATTTGGGCATCACCTTGGGGCACCTTCATCCCTTTGGCAACCACTGAACGGGCATAGGAGTAGAACGATGTTGCCATATACTAGAGACACAGGTAGAACTGGGAGGTGGAATCAGCTGCTATGGCTCAGGCAGAGTAGATCCCTGTTATACTGGGCAAAGCAGATGAAGCAGGAATACTACATTAAATGCACGGGAACAAGATATTTAGCTTCGATTCCATTGGTTTCACCTCACACTGACACTTAGTGTATCACTAAACTGCAATCTGTGTCACACTGCTGAATGTAAGGTCGGCAGCTAATGAAAGAGGGAGGTGAAGGAGCGGTGCCTTTGCATCTAACCTTATGTTTAGGTGGTGTTCCACCCCCAAGCTACACCTGGTAGAAAGTGTCCAGGGCTGCAGTGTAGCAGGGTGACAGCTCAAATCTAGTTAGAAGCTGAAGTTGCTGCATGATAAGCAACCTGCTTGTCATGAGATTTTGCAGAGAGAGCACATGACAGTAGTGCTTCAGAGCTTCAGCTTATGAGCGCTGACTGGGACCTGTTCAATTCTACATAGTTTGGAAGCTGGTTGTCTCAGAGAAGGCCCTTCTCTGAAGGCCATGCTGCCATGACGGCTGAGCCTCTCAAACTGGGGAACTCCCTTGGTGGAAATGAGAAGGAGCTTGTGATATGATGGAAGCCCCTCTTACTCTAGAATGCTTTACCTGCCTACGCCCACCAAATGGATGTGTATGTTAGCTGTAAGGACACGCTATGTCTTGGGTTTTGACTTCACAGGTAGGAGTGAAGGTTTAATGGTGGTGAAAAAGGGGCTCTTACTTGTGTTCCTTTATTATATTTGTGTTGGGTGTGGATAAGGCTTCTTACTACAACTCCAGAAGTGTGAGTTTGAGCACCACTTTGAACTCATGCTGCAGGCTGCCTCCATCTGTAAATAGGTACCTGGTCATTCAGGCTGGAGAGTCAAAGGTGTCTAGATAGAGCTTATAGCAATCCTGGTCTGATGGACTTGGAATAGTCTTTGGTCATGGGTGTAGATTTAAAAAAAAATCCTTAATAGAGCCAGTCATGCTGCTTTAAGTTAGTATTTTACTTCTGCTTTATATATTCAATTATTATATAGCACAGAGAGGTATGGACAGTTGCTTTATAGATGGAGAGAGGAGTAGCAGCAGATCTGGATAATTCCTGATTACTCTTGACCCAAGGGATGTTAGAAGTTCCAGTGCTTAACCTACTTTTCCTTCTTCTCAAGGGTGGGAAGATCCCAGTAAGGTGGACAGCCCCGGAGGCCATTGCCTACCGCAAGTTCACCTCTGCCAGCGACGTCTGGAGTTATGGCATTGTCATGTGGGAAGTGATGTCATTTGGAGAGAGGCCGTACTGGGACATGTCCAACCAAGATGTGAGTGTTCTGAGCTCCAGGCTCAAGGAAAAGTAACTGTCCTTGTGTGTTTCTTTATCTGGGACCTAGGGAAAGGGCCAAGAGTTGCTACTTTACGCCATTGCCAGCCTCTCCCCGCAGGAATCAACTTCAAGAATGACACAGCCCACTCAGCTCCATCTGGGATGGAACCAGTGCACATCTGGCCTATGTGTAGCCAGCTTGGATCAGTCCATAGCCAAGACCTTTCCATTTGCAGCGCCAGAAGGTGCGGGAGAGGAAGTTGTTTCTGTTCACTATACAGCAGCTAGAAGAGAGTTGGGGAGGAGATATGGGGTTTGTTTTTTGTTCCTTATTTTCTTCTCAGAGCCCATAAACTCCATACCCCATGAGTTTTTTTTGGCAGAGAGGGCAGGGGAATAGAACATGTTTCTGGCTATGAGTTAAAGCTATGTGAAGGTGAAACAGTAGACAGCCCCTGAACCTGAGTATGTGAGGTGTTCACCTAGGCTATGAACAGACATCACATTTGTCCCAGAAGAAAGCCTTTTATCCTGGGATCATCCAAGTGTACACATCCACTGTCCTGCTTCAAGCCCCTCTGAAGTATGTCAGATAAAATGTACTAACATTGTTTCTTCGGGACTTTGTGTTGTACATCTGTATGGTTGTTGCAGTCCATTCCAGGGATAAGTCTGTTAGGCTGTGTGCTCTCACCCACCACCTACTAGCAAGGGTGCAGAAATAGTTTGGAAGGGCAATCTATGGAAACGGTGGTGTCACTGTTTTGATCTGACTGAAGCTTCAAGGCAGCCAGTCTCAGGTCAGATGAGACATCCGTTCACTGCCCAAGATATCCCCATTGCTAACTACGGCAGGTTTGAAAAGAAGCTTTACACGTGGCTGCAATGCCTCTCAAGACGGCAGTGCAGAAACTAGTACAGAGACTCTAGCTGTCAGGTGTGAGCTCCCAGCTACTCCAGACTCAGCCTCCGCTATTTGGAACCTCTGTAGCACTAGCTGGTTTTCAAGATGAAAAAGACCTTCCAAATGAAAGGCTCGAAGAAGAGAAATTGGGAAGAAAAGCCAGCAGGCTAGTAATTGGACTTCAGGAACCTGGAAGGCCTTTGAAAACATTCAGAGGTTTTGTGAGCCAGGGAGAAAGAATTCGTAGTTCAACGACAGTACTCCGATGCTATCGGCAGAGATAATGAGAGTGGCAGCTCTCCACAGAGAGGAGATACAATGCTCTTGAAGCATCTGAGCTCAAATTAACCTCTCAGTGCCCTGGTTCCATTAGAGCGAGGAACACCTCCTCTGCTCCCTTTGCTAGCAGTCACGTGGGTTGGCTTCAACTTTCCTGGGCCAGCATCATTAGCGTACATAGTACGTTCACTTCTCACACTGATTCTGCTTCTGCCAGAGGAGAAGATGGCAGAGACAATTCCTTCCCTATATTCTCTTGTGTTTAGGGTATTCATGCCAGCACAGGCAGCTGTAGCAGGTGTGCCAGGGCACTGTGGGGAGCCACCTTTCTCTGAAGACCTTGCTCCTTGAACACACTGCTCTTTGCTGTGGCGTGGGACCAGGTCATTGCTAACATAAAGCAGCTGGAGCTCTACTGAAATCAGTAGCAATGCAACCACTGGCACCACCAGGAAATTTGGCCCAGCAGATTTGGGAACTCTTGCCATTGGTGTTATGACAAATGAGATAGGGGATGGTTTGGGTCTTTGTCCTGTCAAGAGCCCTCTGAACTCTCTCCCTCTAGGTGTCTCTTGTTTTTCTCATTTATTCTTCCTGCAGGTAATCAATGCAATTGAGCAAGATTACCGGCTACCGCCTCCTATGGACTGCCCAGCTGCATTGCACCAGCTTATGCTAGACTGCTGGCAAAAAGACCGCAACACCAGACCCCGCTTCACCGAAATAGTCAACACCCTCGATAAAATGATCCGCAACCCGGCAAGCCTCAAAACTGTGGCTACCATCACCGCTGTGTGAGTCTCAAAGCACTGAGGCACTGTACAGGCAATGGGAAATCCTATGGAGAATTCATTTCTGGAGTTTGGGAATTCATCAACTTAGCATCACTGGTTGTTAATTGGAAATAAATTATCCATTGACCACTGCTTTTCATTTTCTGTTCACCAATCACTCACAAATCCATCAAGATTTCTGCACACATATTTGCTTTACGTAACTACCAGCCAAATAAATTGATAAGCAGTTTTTGGCCTATGTGAGGGCTCTTTGATATTGGTTATTTGTGGCACAGTACTCAGGTATAGTATAGTATAGGTATAGTAACAATAAGATACTGTAGGATGTTATAATGGGCCAGTAGTCCCAAGGTACATTTCTGCCCCCTTCATGAAAGGCTTTTATTCCCATTGACTCATTGAAACAGATGTTTAGGCAGGTGTGTTGCAAGGCTTCCAAAATCCTACCTTTATCATAGATTAACATCCAGGGGCCACTTTGAGCAGCTTCTAAAGACTGAAGCCTTTGTTTAATGTTACAAAATATCTCGGAGGACCTGTCAAAATTGTTCTGGTACCACTATACTATTAAAGGATTTGTAGTCCACCCGTGCACCAGGCACTGTAGAAGCTAGTGGCCAATCTAGCCAATGCATTCTCTTCAGGGCTGGTCAGATCCCATTTCCATGTCTCTCTGTCTTCTTGGGGTCTTGGGTGAGGGAGGGGGATAGGCAAAAACTTTGAATATCAGATTTTTGGCAGTGGTCTAAAATAGAGGAATTTTTGTTACGATTATGAACCTATTCTGGGCCCTGGTATAAGTGCATTTTTAATAGACATAAAATAAGTGCAGTTACTAGTCACAGGCTTGCTGTATTTTTAATACTGCTTATATGGTAGGTTTTATTGTTTAGCTTGATCAGTATACCGTGCTATTTTAAAGGGTGGCAGGCCAGTGTTTCCCCATTTCTATTTATTAGATGGCTGGTTTCGGCCTTGTTTTTGGTCTATAGCATCCATTAACCTTGGGTTTCCCATCAGTGCTGATGCTGCCTGACCTTGGCTTCTTTCATGTGTGTTCCAGGCCTTCTCAGCCACTGCTAGACCGCTCCATCCCAGATTTCACTGCCTTTACCTCAGTAGAAGATTGGTTAAACGCCATTAAAATGAGCCAATACAGAGACAACTTCCTGACTGCTGGCTTCACCTCCCTCCAGCTCGTTGCCCAGATGACATCAGAGTAAGTAGAGCACACTGTTCTTTCACCTAGCTGCTGATCCTATCCCTACCGAAGACAGACTAATTGACTTCCATGGGAGTAAGAATCTAGCAGTCCCTTGCGGTTTTCATTGTTTCTTGGTTGAGGTGGGATCAGAAACAATATAAGAAGAGCCTTACTTTGGGGAGCGGCTATTTCAAGCCAAATCAGAGAATGGAGAACTTCAAGAAAGTTGAAGAGAAACAAATTCAGCTGAACCAACTTCTTTTGAACTTCAAGATAGGTTTGGTTTGAGTTCAGAGCAAACATTCAGGTCACTCTTTTTGTCCATTATGATTTATCCATGCCCATCTTCAGTGACACTTATATCTTCTTTGTTTATCAGACGGCAAATTCAGGTTCATTGTTTTAGATTAAAATGGAAACCATTTATATTGCTTTTTCCCTCCTATTCCACTAGTGACATGAAAGAACAAAATTACACATCTAGGACAAGTATTCCTGACACTTATCAAGGAGTACACAATAGAAGACATCTAAAGTGAACTGAACTGTCTGTTGGCTTTTTTTTTTCAGAGATCTCCTGAGAATAGGGGTGACTTTGGCTGGACACCAGAAGAAGATACTGAACAGTGTCCAATCTATGAGAGTACAGATGAGTCAGTCTCCAACCTCGATGGCATGACATCTCTCATTTGATGGGGATGGGAAAGGGAGGGGAAGCAATGAAGGGCCAGAGGTGGGGTGGGGAGGAACTAACTGACAAAGCAGTGAAACATTTGGAGAGGTTGAATTATTGTCTGAGAACTGTAACAGCTGCAGACAAAGAATACACGGGACTCATTTCTAACCGGCAACTTCCGTTTCTCACCAACAGAAGCACACTTACCAATGTCATGGGAAACAGCATATACATAAGTATAAATATGTACAAATCATATATTTAAAAGACAATGAAGACAAACCAATGTGTGTTGGGGGGGAAAAAAATAACGGACTCCAATCCCACCACCAGTGAGCAGTAGTTGAAACTGATAAGAAAGAAGGAGCCATTGGGAAGGAGGAGGTGCAAGTCCTGAGTTTCCAACCCAGAGAGATCATTTTCTGCGATGATATTCTTTTTCATTTCTTCTTTTGCTCTCCTTCCCAATCCTCTATCACACACCTTCTTCCTTTTCTGCTCATGATTGGTGTGGAAGTGTCTTTAGAAGTCTTCACAGCTACCTAATCTAATACCAAGGTGTTGCTCTGTCAACTACCGAAGGACTTCTGACCACTGCATGGGAGATCCAAATCAATCCAGTTAATGTCTTCATATTGAAGAAGAGCTGTACCTTCAATAGAAAACCTTGTTTTTCTTTTGCTTGCATTTTTTTGCAAAAAGGAAAAAAAAAACATAATGAAAAAAGCAAAAAAGTGTTTCCGTGTGTGCGCACTCAGGTGCGTGCGTGTGTGTGCGTGTGCACTGTCAACTTTCTCTGGATTCGCTGCTTGTCCATAACAGAAATAGAAACAGATCGACCCAAGTGGAATGGACGGTAAATTCTTGACCTCCAAGGGAACTGGGGTTGTGGGGGAGGGACAAGTGATTGGCTTTGCTTTCTGTCTGGATCAACTGCACCTGCCACGCACAATGAGAAATAACCAGGGGAAAAAAAGCAAGTCAGACTCAATGTTTTGCAAGTTTGGAGGAGGAAGCAAAGGAACAGTCATCTTGGATGCTTGCATGGGTTTTAGATGGGATTATTATCAGATGCACAGTCTTTGTTACTGGAGTGTTGACTGCAGAGGCGACTGCAACTGAAGGAGAGAGACTGGAAAATAGACTGGTTAGTCTTCCAGCGATCTGCAGAAGATGGCTATGGAGAACTATTTTTCCATCTTGTGGACCTAAGGATTTCGGTATCAAATTGCTGACTTATGTACCATGGCTTCAGAGGTAGGTCAGTATATTCCTTGGGCTTCTCTGTCCAGCTTCCTTCCCTCCTGTATCCCCCTGCTCTCTTCTTTGATGCATCTTCTAGTGAACATTTTCCCATGTTTAATATGATTTTTTTTGTGCAGCTATTTGTCTCTTTGCTAATTTGATCTAGTTAAAATTACTAGAAGCATATCAGCGTTTGCATGGAATATTACCGAGAGTGGGCAATCTGGCATCTCTTCCTACAGTATGCAGTATGCATACAGTTTATAAAACTAATGAGTTCTTATTAAGGCTTTTACTTAAAATGATCGTGTGAGTAATAATGATCCATCCTCACCATCTTAGTGGCATCACAGTTGCAAACAAGCTGCACTCAGGTGGCATAGGGAATAGATTTCATAGCCTGCTGCTCCAAAAAAAGAGGTCTGTTCACTGATTGAACAGGGCCTGACTGCTTTCCTACCAGAGCTAAGCTGAGTCACTGCTTGTGTTTGATGACCAAAGATTTGTTTTCTTAAGGAGTTTAGGTATCTCAGTAGCTCACAGCCATGACTTGGTGGCATCCATGCAACTCTAAGACTCTCCCACATGAGGTTTGGATGTACATAGAGAACAAAAAACACTTAGAAGCTGTCCATCAGCTGGAGTGTGAGATTTAAGGTAGAAGAAACATCTCTCTCTGATCTCATGTTGTCCAAGGAAAGCTCATTTTGTTTGCTGGCCTGCACTGCCTCCTCTGTGTTCTTGAAGTGGCACTTCTTTATATACAAAAAACTAGAACTCTTGGTTCCAAAATGATACCTTTTATTAGACCAACTGGAAAATGGCAAGAAAAATGTCCTTTTCTGCAAGCTTTTGGGATCAAAGTCCCTTCGTCAGGCTCTGGGAAAAGTACCAAGGGTGTACCAAGTACACCCCTGACCTCTTTGTACTGCAGTTTTGGACAGGAACAGGACATCTGGTGGGGTCACCACAACTCCAAACCCTGGCAAGGGTTCTAGGAAGTATGAGACTCCCTGCCCCCAACCCCTGAGCCGTCAAGCAAATATTGTCCTGCTCCTACCTTTGCATTGTGGGTCCCACAGACACTTCAGAAGCTTTTGCAATATCACATGGGCACAAATGCTTCTGGGATATTCCTCTCTCAGACTTGAATGCACAGGTAGTGAGAATTAATCTGTATTTCTTGTACTGTGGATATAGACTGGGATGGTGGGTGGCTTCCTGTTCCCCAAAACTCCTCAGCATGGCTCAGGAAGACACTGGGTCCTTCAGAGTACCAAGATACAGGAGGATCTGACACCTAACATTTCCTAGAAAGCTGGCGATCAGCAAAAGCCTGGCGCCCAGACTGGAAAGGTGAAGGCTAAGTAGCTGTAAGCTTCCCAGCAACTTGCAGTGGGAGAGGAGACCCTTAGGCCTTGATATTCTCTGTATCACCAGTTCCTTGATTTTGTTGAGAAAGTTTCTCACAGCCCTAGTGAGAAATAGGAACTAACAAGATGCAAAAATGATCTTGTTTCCAGTTGTTGAGCTCCCCCCAGAGAAACAGAAAAAGAAAAAGTCCCCTTGTTTGACAACAGAAGGGACTGTTCTAAGTCTTGTCTGATAGCCAATCGTTAATACCTTTTGGAATACTCTCCGCAAAAATCTGTATTCAAGTATGTTGTCGCACCAAATACAACATGCATATAAAACGGGCATTATGCATACTAATACCCTGTGTCACTACATTTATATTCACAATCGGTAAGGGATCCTTTGTGTTTTTATGATTTCTCTTTTATTAGGAGAAAGCCAAAGGTATAAAAAAGCATGACAGTGACACAGACTAAATACAAAAGCTCCACCTTTACGACGGCCGTGCTGCAGATTATACAGAATGAGCATGCATCTCATTGGGAAATGTCACTCTAGCCTTGCTTTGTGTAATCTCGCTGGTTAATATGCAGGGCATTGACAGAACTACAGCTACTGTACTCCCTAATATGAAATTAAGGGGCCCAATTCTGACCATTCAGGTCAGTGGGATCTATAATCATGTGCCTCAGAATAAACATGGCCCATCTGCTTGAACTGTTCTCTGAAGCTGCACTGTGCTGTTTATCTCCACCTGATTTTTATTTCCCATGACAAATAACGTTTGTTTCCCCTCATCAGCTCTCTCATTGCCTGTCATTGCACAAGAACCTGTATTTACTGGTCTTGATCACTTACTGAGCACTGCCATTGTGTGTAATGCTATATATAATAACATATAGGAAAGCAGGGGTCATTTTCTCTAAAGGCTCCTAAATTCACCAAAATAAATGGCTTGATTTTTAGAGTGCTGTGTTTGAAGCTGCTCCCATTGGGAGCCAGCATTCCTGTAGGTAATGATTGCTTAGTCAAGTAGCTTTTAAAAAGTCCATTAACCATTGCCTCATTTTTTGTGGGCTTTATTCTCTTTTTTTCCCCATGGGATGACCCATGTTTCCTCTTAGTCATTTCTTAGGAGGAACCCTGAACATTGTTCCTGGTTTCTACAGTAGGTGAGAAAGTGAAATTAAAGATGTTAAGCCTAGGCAATAAACTGGTTACCAGGGCTAAGTAAAGACAGTCAAAAAGCGTGATGCTAAATTGACTTAGTCCTTACAGGTTAGTTTAGGTTAGTTTAAGTTGTGGAGGTTAAACTGAGAAACAACTGGGCAGACATTTACATGAGTCAGGAAATACAGCCACATGCCTGCAGTGGCTTAGGCTAGACACCAGGGGGTGCTAGAGCATGGTTCTCTGGCATGGGCTGTATGCTCACTTCCTCTTCCTGCTGCCCCTGAGATCTCTGGGATTTGCAGTCCATAAGCACAACAGTAGGACCCTGCAGGGTTGCTCATCACTTCCTCTTTCTGCTTACAGGTACCTTTGGGATTTGTAGTCCACAGTTGCAGCCATCAGTAAATTTGAGCAGGGGAAGGGGCGTTTAACCCCCACTCCCTTGGCCCAGACCATAGCCAGAGTTTGCCTGGGGGAGGGGGAAGCCTCCCTCCCCACCCAGAGACTGGGCCGAATCCCCAGTTGGGCTTGCCCCCCCTTTGTCAGCCAGCCCTCACTGCTCCAG